TGATGGAGGAGCCTCGCGATGTGTCTGGGGCTTTGCCCATGAACACGTAAGACCACGGCAGGGACGACAGGTCACGTCCCCAGAGAGAGCCGAAGCCCACGTGAGCCAGGCCGGCCCAGGCCTCCTCCCCCTCTTCAGAACAGCCCTGCTGTCAGCCGGGTTAAGTCCCGGCCTTCCCAGTAGAAGGTCTGCTTTTAAAAATCTGGCAACGGGGGTGCCTGGGTGGCTCCGCCAGTTAAGCGTCCAACTTTGGCTAAAGTCATGGTTTCACGGTCCGGAGTTCAAGCCCCAAGTCAGGCTCTGTGCTGTCACAAAAGCTCAGAGCCTGGAGCCTGCTTCTGATTCTGTGTCTCCCTCTCTCTGCCCCTTCCCCGCTTGCACTGTCTCTCTCTCAAAAACCAGCGTCAAAGAAAAATTCTTTTTTAATCTGGAAACCACTGAACTAGACCTTATTGAATTGTCAATTCTCAATTCTCAGCTGGTTTTTTGACCACGATAGAAAAAAAGGCTCCGGTCCTTTTTTCCCACTCCCCTCTTGAAAATAAACAAGTCGATACATGCGCACGTTTATTAAAACCAGGGACAGGCTCAAACGTAGCGCTCGTGGGTGCCGTTTTGTGAAGACTTCCGGTTGCCCGCAGCTCCGGGGTCTTGGTGCTGGCGTGAGCCGCTCTGGCCAAGGACCCCGCTGCCTCCCCACCGGCTCCTCCCCGTTCATGTTTCCCCGGGTCTGTGTGAAAGTAACCAAACTTGGCACAAACTCTCTGGAGGACTTCCCGTGAAAGACGAAAAACAGTTGGGTGGCTCAGCCTGGAGGCGGGGCCGTGCAAGACTCCTGGTTTCATGTAGGAATTCATACCCGGAGGACCGTGCCCCGCTAGCGGGAGAAATGACGTTTGCCGTGTGACGGCCGACAGCACGGATCATTCACGAGGCCAAAGTGGCCGGATGCGGTGTCCGGCCTGGCAGGGCTGACGCTTACGTCCGGCGACCTCCCCCCTCTACCAAGTCCTTCCCCTCGAGGAGACGCAGGGACAGGCCCCCACCCCCCGGGTCGAGCCCAGTGAGACCACAGAGAATCTTCTGATCCCTTCTGTCCAGCTGCCTGTGAGCACCGGTCAAGGGAGGAGAACGTGCCCCGAGTCAGCACCCGAGTCCCCATCCTAACTGCTGATGCGCTCGAACCTCGGCACGAGTTGGCCAGAGTTCTTCAGGCCGGTCGTAAAGCCCCAGCCACTCTGACCCCTGATGTCTGCAGCTTGCGCGGGGGTGGGATTTGCCGTGCTGGTTTCGGGCTTCATCAAGCTCTACGCTTCTGGTAAAGATGGCGCTGGGACGGACGGATCTGTGAACTCTTCCTCCCGTTAGCGAGGTCACCACCCTACACCTGTTACAGCAAATGACAAAAACGCTGGAAAACCAAATAAAGATATTTAATATTAACATGATCTTCGTTCCCTAAATGCAGGTTAGAGCAGACCTCGATTTATCTCAGGATCCTAACTACAGCTATGTCACAGGGACGGGGAGAGTCCTGCCTCCGTCGGGACGTGCCGTCCTGTGATGCGGCCTCCCCCACCCTTAGCTCTGGAGAGCCACTTGGGGACCCACCTTTTCCAGCTGCAGTGAGACGTCCGCTGGGGTTGTGGCAGGCAGCTGGCCATCTGGCCTTAACCAGCTCCTGCCCCCCACCGCCGTCTGGTGACCGTAAGGACGAGCACTGTGTCTGACCGTACGTCAGACGGAGTTGTTGAGGGGAGCTGAACTCTCTCTGGAGGGATCCCCAGGGTCACAGCGGACACACGGCTTTCCGGGACCTACCAGACCAGATAGTTATCCAAGGAACTGAGGGGATATCTTTCGCGGGACGATGGCGACACCCCAAATATAGTGAGGGCCGTTCTAGGCCAGGGCCTGTGCCCAGTACTTCCCTCGTGTGACCCTCACAGCCTCGTGAGGCCAGGGTTCGGTCGTGACCCTCGTGCTGGGGGTGCAGAAGCCGAGGTTGAGGGTTAACGTCGTGCGGGGTGGTGGAGTTGGGAAGCATCACACCGTGTCCATCGCCTCGGGGAAACTGATGTCCTGCGTGAAACAAAACCACAGCTTCACTGTGTGCTTGATCGTGTTCTAAGTCGGTCTGTCGGTTAATTCTGAGCCGCTTTCTCTACGATGTGTCCGTCTAGCACCAAACGTGAACAAGAGGTGGCAGAGTTGAAGAAGGCTCTGGAGGAAGAGACCAGGAACCACGAAGCCCAAATCCAGGACATGCGACAGAGACACGCCACAGCCCTGGAGGAACTCTCGGAGCAGCTGGAACAGGCCAAGAGGGTGAGAGGGGCAAGGCGCGTGGGCCCGTGTCCTGCAGGAGATCGGCCATCGGGCGCACATCCGTCCAGTCGGTGCTGAGCCCGGCCTCGGCACGGCCGTGGGGGCTGACACGGCCGGCAGCTCGCAGGGCGCTGTGTACCCGAGGGGTCATGGGCCCTTAACTTTTTGTTGTTTTTTTCAATAACCGGGGGTACCTGGCGGCCGTCTCCAATCTCGTTCCTCCCAGGGCCGCCCTCCACCAGCGCCCCCCCTCCCAATGGCCACGCTCAAAACCCTTGAGCGCTCTGTGCCTGTCCCCGTCTGCGGCCCCGCGGCCATTTCACGTGTCCCTCATGCTCTCCTCCTTCCTCCCGCCTCTGGCAGTCTGAAGCCACCACACGCGGTGTCGCCCTCCTTTCGCCGCCATCCCCGTCCCGAGTCTCACACAGGCTTCCGTCCTGACAACACAGCAGCTCGTCCCCCCGCTGACCCCCGGGGCAGACGGCGTCCTTCCCCATTCCTCCCCGTCACCCTTCCTTCGTGCCTTCTGCTCCCGCTCCGGGGCCCCCTTCTGTCCTCCGTGGGTCCACACGTGCGCTCTCGGTATTAACGTTGACTGGACGTGCACATTTGCATGTGTCTGTCACCATGCTCAGTACACCGCGTGCGTCGCCTGTAACCGTCACCACAACCTTGTGCGGTAGACTCTCGACTGTCATTTCCGTTCAGAGGATGAGGAAACTGAGGCCGGCAGGGTCAGGAAACTAATCGAGGGTCACACAGCCAGAACGTGGAACGGCAGAGTGAAGCCGGGCACTCAGGCCCCAGAGCCCCCACACGACCCCCAGCTGCACCACCTCAAAAGCGCATCCCCAGGTCCAGGCCCCCCACGAGGCGATCCCTGCAGCCGTGCGACCTGTTGTGGTCACCCCTGCGCTGACACCCCTGTGTTAGTCTTACCCCAGCAACAGGGGTCTCAGCTCCTCACTAAGAATAATTCTCTCAACGGAACACGTTTTCTAGAAAGGATAACCCGAGTGGATGATTACATGATAGGATGTACCCCGAGTCGCCCCCACGCTGACCAGGATGAATTCCGTGGTGTACTGAGCCCCCACACGTCTGGCGCTCGTACCCTGGGCAGGGAGTACAGGGCGTTTCCTCCATAGAGATCTCCGTGCTCAGGGGAGAGCGGAGGTTTTCATTCGCTCACTCCGATGCTGAGTGCAGCCCGGGTATCGGGCACCATCCCGCTGATACAAAAAGCAGCGCCTTGTATGGAGTGTTCTAAAAATACTGGCAAATTTCTCTTCCCTCCCCTCCTAGTTCAAGGCAAATCTGGAGAAGAACAAGCAGGGCCTGGAGACTGACAACAAAGAGCTGGCGTGTGAGGTCAAGGTGCTGCAGCAGGTCAAGGCCGAGTCTGAGCACAAGAGGAAGAAACTGGACGCGCAGGTGCAGGAGCTCCACGCCAAGGTCTCGGAAGGAGACAGACTCCGGGTGGAGCTGGCCGAGAAAGCAAACAAGTTACAGGTGAGCCCGGAAAACCCAACTCGGGACGCACCCGCGGCGGCCTGTCCGCGACCGTCGAGCCCCTTGGGGACCGCTGCCGTCAGGGGTGCGTGGTGTGTTTAAGTTCAGTCCTACTAGGTATCTCAGGGACGGACAGCACGAATTGGCCTTAATTGTAGTAAATCCCACACTGAACAGTGGGTATAGCTTTGAGCTTTAAACACAACTTCAGCTGCTCCATTAGACCAGTCAGTAAGACAACTGGGGCAGTGGGTGCAGAAACGGGTGCCTAGTGTTGGTGCTAACTTGCAAAAACTGGATTTTTTATACACTGCTGGTGCAAGTATAAATAGAGACAACGTTTTCTAAAGAACAGGTCAGCAGTTTTGGTGTCACAGGCCTTAAAAATATGAATACCCTGGGGCGCCTGGCTGGCTCAGTGGGTAGAGTGTGTGACTCCTGATGTCAGGGTTGTGAGTTCAAGCCCCACACTGGGTGTAGAGATTACTTAAAAGTAAAGTCTTGGGAGTGAGTGCCTGGCTGGCTCAGTCAGGCGTCTGGCTGTTGGTTTCGGCTCAGGTCGTGATCTCATGGTTTGTGAGTTTGAGCCCCTCTTTAGGCTCTACGCTGATGGTGCAGAGCCTCTCCCTCCCTCCCTGCCCCTCCCCCACTTGTTCTCTCTCTCCCTCTCCCCCACCCCCACGCGCGCTCTCAAATATTTACAAAATTAAAATCCTGAAAAAGAAAAGACAGTTCGTATACATACGAAGACAAAAACACGTGTACGTATAGGATACCCTACAGTCCAATAGAGTGATGTCTAGTAACGAAACCCAGGGAGATAAGGGTCACACACAGACTCTGCTTCTGGGAATGCTCGTTGTAGGAATATGTACAAAAGAGCGTAATTGGAATAACTTTCATGTCCAAGTGTGGATTCCTACGCCACCAATAAAAACGAGACGATAGATGAATGTCTGTGGGTGAGAAAAGACGCACGTTCCGTGGTGCTGCACTAGAAACGGCTTCCGGAGCCGAGCTCTGCCAGACGCCCGAGACCACCGGGCGGACTCCCAGGACTCCGCACGGGGGCCTGCCCACGGCCATATTTATCACAGTGAAAGGATACAGAGCGAATCGGTAAAGGGAAAAGGCGGGAGGCCCTGAGGAAACCAGGTGCGAGCTCCCAGCAGGCCCCCTTGGGGGCAGGGAGCTGGGCCGGCACGTGGGCCGTCCTTTCCACGCGGAAGCTCGCGGAGCCTCGGGGCCCAGCGGTTTGGTTGGGGGCTGGTCCCGACGGCCCCACTGCCTGACTCCCAGAAGGAAGGCACGCGTTCGGCATACAGCACGGTGTTTACACAAGCCGCTTTGTGCAAACGGCACGGGGAGCCGTTCTATTTTAGGGAATGGTAGGCGCTCTCGCGAAATCCAGCCGAGGGCCGGGCCGGCGTTGCCAACAGGCCTTTTTCTCAGGGGAGCCATCTCGGGCCTCCCCTGTTAACTCTTGCCTGTCCAGGGAGGTGTTCTCCAGAGAGAGGCCGTTACACGGTGTCACTAACGTCATCATACGTTACCGTCCGGGTGGCAAGGAGGCGAGGCAAGTGACCCTCGTGGGCGCCTGTGGACGCTCTCTCCTTCCGTCCTTACGTCACCCCCTGGGCGCGTCGGGCTGATGAGGAACGTGAAGCTAAAGTGAGGAGCTGGCGGCCCTCTGGCCGCTCCCCTGCAGGTGACGGAGCCCGAGCTGAAGGCTGGAGGTCTGTCTCTGGTGAGTCCAGAGCCTTCCGCCACCACACTGTCGCCAAGACTGTTGGCACGTGCCCTCTCCAGAGGATGTTGCTAAAACGAGTAAAAACAGGAATGTCGTTGGCCTGCCTTACGTGTACGGAGACGCCCTCTGCACACCTTCCCTTCGCTAATGCGACCGAGGGTCAAACCGGAGTGAAGGGCCACCTGTCGTCCCTACCCTTCTCCCCACTACCTGCTCCGCTCACAAAGAATTACAAAAGGTCTCCTACTGTGGGGATTTGGTGGGGGAGGAGCAGGTTAGAGCCGTCACGAAGGAGGAAAAGGCAACAATGTTTTTACCACATCGTTCATGAAATCTGGCCTTAAGACTATAGCTAAATATTCCTGATAAATCTGTACCACCAGATTTTTAAGCTTAAAAAGAACGTTAGATGGGGTACGAGAACTTACACTCCTCTAAATCCCTGTAACTCTAGAAGACTAGGAATTTACTTGCACCCCTAACACAGGGTTAATGCATCTCAGTGTGAAAAAGGATTAAGTAACAGTGCCTGCTGATCTGGGAGCCTCTTCACATAGCAGAGGAGCCAGAGAGAGAATTTAGTGCAATCTTTGTTTCTTCATGATAAAAAACAAGACGGTGAGCAGGAATGCGGAGAACCGCGCTCCGTGCATGGGCTCTGCCGTTACATTCCTCCCTGTCCTTCCAGCAGGGACTCTGACGTTGTCTGCGGTGGCTGGCACGGTGCCTGCCTCTGTGGGCACTGTTGGGAGGCAACGCCTGTGATGGAAGTCCTCCTTGGGTTTGGGGGTTTCAGGATCCCTCCTCCTCCCCTGGAAACACTGCTGTATTTGTGTGCGTTGAAGAGTGGTGAGGCCGGACCTTTCTGTCTGCTTCCTCTCGCATCACACTGAATCTTGTATTCCTTCCTCCTTGCAGAATGAATTGGATAATGTCTCCACGCTTCTGGAAGAAGCCGAGAAGAAGGGTATTAAATTTGCCAAGGACGCAGCCAGTCTGGAATCTCAACTACAGGACACACAGGTATTCTGGGGGGTGAAGGCCCTTGGTCACAGCTCCGCTGGTTCTGTAATCTACAAGTCCGTGGAACAGGCCAGCCCCACAATTGCTTTCTTACCATCTCTGATTTTGTGCTCAACTTTTATTTGGAACCATCTTGCATCCTAACGGGCCTTGACGCTCCGGAAGTCTCTGAGGCTCAGTTATATGGACGCAGAGCCCTCAGCGTCTGGCAGGCTTGTGGGCACCAGCGGGCACCGCCTGGAACATGGTTCACTGAGCAGCGGTCCTACTGCGCACACAAGTATAGCCGGCTGTTTTAAATAAGATTGTTTTTTTGTGGTTGAAATTATGTTACACTGACCTACTAGTCCATTTCGTAAAAAGGTAGGTTGAGGCCTTCTTATCGAAACATGTTAGGGATGTCTTCACGTCAGACAGAAGTTAGGATGACAACTTTGATATGAAAATAACACAGCACTTTCTTCTTGGGAGTTTTACATCTTCTTTTTATTAAATGTGCTAACTTTATAAGAACGTTGATTTGCTAGGTGCTGGGGATACAGGGGTAACATCTCTTGGAGCTTACACTATGACAGGGCACATCCTGGTCAGTGAGACTATGGGAGACCAGGGGCGGGTCACGGGAATCAGTCTGGCAGGAAGTTTGTAAAGGACAGACAGCTGACGGGTTGCCCGATACTGGAGGTCAGCATAATGAGAAATGCCAAGTGCCTCGACTAAGGGACAGAGGGGTGGGGAGAAAGGTCTGCCAGAAGTACGGAGATGCTGGAGACGGAGGCGTCTCGGGCCACTCAGGTCCTGGCCTGGGTGCCTACGGTGAACGACACTGCTGTTCCTCGAGGACAAGTTGAAAGCCGTATTTTGGGGGCGCCTGGGTGGTTCAGTTAAGTGCCTGACTCTTGATTTTGGCTCAGGTCGTGATCTTGCAGTTCATGAATTTGAGCCCCACGTAGGCACCTGCCTGGGATTCTCTCTCCCTCTGCCCACCCCCCGCCCCGGTCGCTCACTGTCTCTCTCAAAACAAACATTTAAAACAAGATTTTTAAAAAGCAGTATTTCTGTTAAGATCGTCTATAAAATTATCAGGCGTGTTTTTAAATCATTTGTTTCTTAAGATCACGGGGTAGTTGTGACCCACTGAGGCGCTGTGTTTTTTGTGCCGTGACTTTGTTTTTAAGAAAGGTGTTTCTGTTCGGTGATCAGTGTAACTCCGGTATCGACCTCTTGTGAAATAAACAGGAGCTTCTTCAGGAGGAGACGCGCCAAAAGCTGAACCTGAGCAGTCGCATCCGGCAGCTGGAGGAGGAGAAGAACGGCCTCCAGGAGCAGCAGGAGGAGGAAGAGGAGGCCAGGAAGAACCTGGAGAAACAAGTGCTGGCCCTGCAGTCTCAGGTGCGCGTGTGCCCGCGGATGCCGCGGGGGCCTGGAGGTGTGCGCTCAGCGACTAACGTCCTCTCCGCTTGGGACAGTTAACTAGGCTGTACGAAACTAAGCCCCGTAAGCGTGTTCTCTGACCCAGCCAAGTGCCGGTACTCCGGTGAGGGTGTGGGAAGCCTCGACAGTGACCTCGGACTGGGTCCGCTGTGCAAGGACGCAGACCAGCCATCCTCTTAACGATGATGAGCTAAGACACCGTTACAGTCTGAGCCTCGCTGGCTCGCAGTCACGTATTGATTTATGCATCTTTTCTCCAAATATGGAAAACGAGCTTTCTCTGTTCCTCACCTGTAAAAGTCACTGGGGTTGTTTAACGTGGGTCTCTCTTCCCGTACAACCAGCTGACAGATACCAAGAAGAAAGTAGACGATGACTTAGGAACAATTGAAAGTTTGGAAGAAGCCAGAAAGAAGCTCCTGAAGGACGCGGAGGCGCTGGGCCAGCGCCTGGAGGAGAAGGCTTCGGCCTACGACAAGCTGGAGAAGACCAAAAACCGCCTGCAGCAGGAGCTCGACGACCTGACGGTGGACCTGGACCAACAGCGCCAGATCGCCTCCAACTTGGAGAAGAAGCAGAAGAAGTTCGACCAGGTGGGCCCTGCGTCCCTGCGTCCCAGGGCCAGTGCCACACGCTGCCGCTTCCTGGCAGACGCTCTTGTTGTCGTGGTTTAAAATAATCTTCGTGTTTATACGTATTTGTAGAAAATTGGAAAGGGAGAAAAGCAGAAAGAAACAGCACCCATGAACCACAGTAGGGGCTCAGCAGGAAGTCAGACACACAGTGAATGAGAAGCGTGTTTGTCGCTTTCGCGTTGTTTCTAATGTGTCCCGACACCGTTCCGTGCAGCTGTTGGCAGAAGAGAAGAACGTCTCTGCTCGCTATGCAGAGGAGCGAGACCGCGCGGAGGCAGAGGCCAGGGAGAAGGAAACCAAAGCCCTGTCCCTGGCGCGGGCCCTCGAGGAGGCCCTGGAGGCCAAGGAGGAGTACGAGAGGCAGAACAAGCAGCTTCGAGCGGACATGGAAGACCTGATGAGCTCCAAGGACGACGTGGGGAAGAACGTGAGTATCCCAGGGACCCGGCCCCCCCGCGGGGGAGGATCTGGGAAGGCGTCTCCCGACAGCGCAGCAGCATGGCGGCGTCCTGGCCTGTGCACGGATGGGGACTGAGGTCTCCCGGGGCAAGCTGTCGGACCCTGCGGTCTGTGCTCGGTTCTTGGTGCCTGAGCCACGAGTTCTCGTAGCGGCCCTGACCGATGGTGACGCTTGGTTTATTCCTGTCACCTTCCGCCCCCCCCCCCGCCCTACGTCCTGGCAGGAATGTCACTGTTCCCGAGTCACAGGGAGTTCCCAAGCACAGGTACCACGAGGTCCGCCCGGGCCAAGGACAGCAGCCCCTGTCCTTCCTGGCCCGGGCCTTCCCAGCTGAGACTCTTGGTTTTCCCTGAAGGCTTCAAGTGCTTTGGGGGCTCGTTGACAGTCTGGAAGTTTCTGTGATGCTGTCCTTTACTGCATACACGCTCCACAAGAGCCGGGGTGATGTTTATTTGTCCCACACCCCTCAGGTGTATGAGGTGTGGAGGATTGTGTGGCCGGGCTGGGGCCAGAAGCAGTCTGTTCTCCCCAGGAGGAGCCACTTAACCTCCTGATCTGTATCATCTGCCAGACAATGTTGCACTTGCCCTGTCTCAGGAAGCTGCGACATAGGGGCTCTCTGGCCACATCATAAGGGAGGGAAGACTCTCCTCCCTTCCTGTTGGGTCTCCTACAGCCCGGTGCCCGGAGGGTCAGCCCCATGGACAAGAGGCTGCCTAGACTAGAAGTGGCCATGATGGCATAGTCGTACGTAGACAACTCCACAATGACTTTGTTTTTTTCTTTTCTTTTTTTTTTTAATTAAGTAAACTTCTATGCCCAATGTGGGGCTCAAACTCACAACTCCACAATCAAGAGGTTCACGCTCCACCGACTAAGCCAGCCAGGCACCCAGCTTTCTCGTTCCTTCTAGTTTTTACTAGAATAATGGACATGTTCATTCCACAGACCTCACTTTGGTGCCTAAGCAGCAGCAGGGGCTGCGTGGCCTCCCCTGCCACGTCTCCTGCTGCCCCTGGGAGAGGCGGCGTGGCCGCCTGAGAGGTGTCTCAGGGACGGATCAGAGGGGACGCGGGGCAGACGCGCTCGGCACCGAGAACTAGGTGGGGGTGTGTGGTGGCGAAGGTCGGGCCACTTCTCACGCATCCCCCGCTCCACAGGCCTGACACACCTAAGTAGTTACAAGTTCCCACGTACATCTGCAGCACAGGTGAGGTTTTCACAGCAAGACGGGATCTCCCACAGCACCTTTCACACGCAGACAGCAGGCAGATGGCCAGTCCACAGACGGGCTCCTCGGACACCGTGCTCTGTTCATCGTTCTTTGGCTTTTAAAGACGTCTCCACTTCTGATGATCGAGCACGAGTGATCCATCAGGAGCTCCGTGCTGCCGTCTGAATAGCGTGCTCCAAAACGGGGGACGGCAAGGCCGTAGCAGGAGCGGGGCCAGGAAGCTGGCCCAGGAGGGACCAGAGCGGCCTTCGTGCCCTGCGGGGGCCTGTAACCGATGAGAACACAGACCACTGTCCTTGTCCGTGCCTCTGCCAAGACTCAGCCCTGTGCCGCTGCCTCCTGTGGTTTAGGTGCACGAACTTGAGAAGTCCAAACGGGCGCTAGAGCAGCAGGTGGAGGAGATGAGAACCCAGCTGGAGGAGCTGGAAGATGAACTTCAGGCCACAGAGGACGCCAAGCTTCGCCTAGAGGTCAACATGCAGGCCATGAAGGCCCAGTTTGAGAGGGACCTGCAGACCAGAGATGAACAGAACGAGGAGAAGAAGCGGCTGCTGGTTAAACAGGTAAGCGGAAGGATGCAGGGCCCCCGGGGACGAGCCTGTCTGGTCTCCAAGTCCGGTTGTGGGTCCATATGCTGCTGGTTCGTGTCGGCCCACGTCAGCTGGAGCTAAATCCATTTATGTCCTCGTTCGATTAGCTTATTCTCTGAAATCTAATGTAATTATTTTTGGTTTCCTGTTTCTCAGACAACAGCACTGCTGTTGACAACCAGGAGATTTACCGATGACTCAATAGGCCTCGTGTGGTGGGATGTCCAAGAACATGTGGTTGGGTGCAAATTCCGTGACTGTCAAAACGTGCGGGCGAAGGAAAGAACCCGGACGCCCCTTGCAAGGGGAAGTTCATCCCTTGTTGGGAAAAGGAAAACCGGATGCTTACATTTTTTGGTTTTAAAAAGTTGCTGGGCATTTAGAATTTTGTATAGTTTTCCGAACATATGTCAAACTTCTAATTTTAAAAGTTTAGTTTAAAATCTAATTGCGGATATTTTGACAGTCCCTTGGACTTTGTGGTATCGGGTCTTGGATCTGGAATACATTGGTCTTACTTTGTTATTTTCACTGCACCGGCATTGAGCACACTAGTCACTTCTTGCCGGATAATTAGTCACCTCCTACTCGGTGACTTCAAAGAGCACGTATTTTGCTCCCAGTTTCTGTGGGTAATTCTGAACCGATGGGGCCGGGTGCAACATCTGAAGGCCAGGCCTGGGCTCGGGGACCCACGTCCGAGCTGGCTCCCCTCGGGTATTGGGGCCTGAGACCTCGGCACCTGGCCGCCTGGGCGTCCCCGGATGAAACCACCCCAAGAAAATGTCTCCTGGCTTTCCACTGTGTCGTGCCACCTCGGCCGGGAGCTGGAGATTGGAGGGGAAGGGCTCTGCCTCCTGTGTGCCATCACGTGGGGGGGGGCGGGGGAGGGAGTGGTGCGAACAGGGTTTTTGGCTTAAAGGCCTCTTTGAACAAACTGCAGCTCCTGGGCTTTTCTGTTATTAACGACGGCTGCTCCGGAGCAGAGAGCACCTACGATGACAGGCTGCCGATCCCCGTGTGGGGACACCTGTGTCTGGCCAGACATAACCCCGGTGCCTCCGTTAGGTGCGGGAGCTGGAGGCGGAGCTGGAGGACGAGCGGAAGCAGCGGGCGCTGGCGGTCGCGTCCAAGAAGAAACTGGAAATAGACCTGAAGGACCTGGAAGCTCAGATGGAGGCCGCGAACAAAGCCAGGGACGAGGTGGTCAAGCAGCTCCGCAAGCTTCAGGTGCGTGCGGCCAGCGGGCTCTGACGGAGCACACGGTGGCCGGGTTGCGGGCCACAGAGGCGGCACGCGTGCATCTCGTGTCTGCGGGCCGCGCGTGGCCCCTCAGCAAGTCCGGGACACGGCCCCTGGAGACGCTGAGCTACGCGCGAGCCACCCAACAGGAAGGTGGTGCTCCCCTCCCTCCCACTTCGGCCGCTCGAGTGATGTGCCAGTTTTCACTGTCGCGGTGACCGATTTCCAGAATATCTCCCGCTATTGTGGGATATAATGGACCCTCTCTCGTAATAGGCCCTTTTCTGGGGGGCTCAACGGTTATGACAAGCTTGAGAAAATTTCCATTTCTCTGGCCGTGGTGATTCCGCATCTTAAGAATGTCTTCTAGGGGCACCAGATGGCTCAGGTCACGATCTCCGCAGTTTGCGGGATCGCGTGCCCCATGCCGGGCTCTGTGTGGATAAAGTGGAATCTGCTTGGAATTCTGTCTCCCCCTCCCCCACTCGCATGCACTCCTTCTCTCGCTCTCAAAATAAACTTAAGATGAATGTGTTCTAACAAAATCTGAGAAGAAACACCTATGAACAAAGATCACAGCTGAAGTGGGATTTGTGACAGCAACAAAGGGAAACCACCTAAATGTAAGTGGACTGCCAGCCATTTACATGGTGGGGCTCTGGATGCAAGGAAGGGGCTTAAGTCCATAAAGGAAGACAGAGCGCAGGCGGCTTCTTTCACAGCCACACACGCAGAAAGGTGTTCGTGGACAGACATAAACATAAAACATTTAAAAGGAAAAGCTAACTCTGGATAATAAGTTTAAAAGCAACTTAACTGCTTCCTTGTATTTTTTTTAAAAAGCCAAGCACAAAGCTCTTATTCTGACGAGCTTATTACAAAGATTATTAAGCATATTACAGAGACTATACATAACTGTGATTTTGTTTACATAACAGCTGTAGGGAGTTTTAATTCACAGACCATACAACTTACCTGCTTATTTTCAGTATATTTTAGTACATTCACAGGGTTCTACAAACATTACCACTATGCAATTTTGGACATTTAAATCCCTCGAAAAGAAACCCTGTACCCCACAGCGGTCACTGCACACGATCTGCCTTGTGTGGCGCTAATCGACCATTCGTCTGCTTTCTGTGTGTCGAGATTTGTGTATGCTGGACATTTCCTATAAATGGAATCCTAAAATATGTGGCTTCTGTGCCTGGCTTCTTTCCCTTAGCGTGTTTTCAAGGTTCATCCGTGGCGTGGCATCCATTAGGACTTCATTCCTTTTTGTTACCGTATAACGTTCCATTGTATGCATTGCCCACAGGTCATTAATCCAACAGTTGATGAATATTTGGGTTGACTTTTCGGACACTCTGAATACTGCTGCTGTGAACATTGGTGAACATTTGTGTAGACGTGTGCTTTCAAGTTCTCTTCGGTAGATACATACCTAGGAGTGGAATTGTTAGGTTATGTGGGAATTCTGTTTAACTGCCTGCCCCGCCTCTCCACAGTGATGGTCCCATTTTACATTTCCTACCAGCTGTGTGTGGGGATTCGAGCTTTACTACATCCTCACCAATATCTGCTATTCATTTTTTATAGTCATCCCAGTGAGTATGAAGTGGTATTTCATTGTGCATTTCATTTTTGATGTGCATTTCCCTAATGACTAATGAACATCTTTTCACTTGCTTATTGGCCATTATCTTATTTGGGAAAAATCTCTCTTAATCCTCTGCTCATCTTCCTAATTGAGTTGTCTTTAATAACTGAGTTTTGTAACATTTCTGTAGATATTCTAGATGCTTCTTGTGAGATCTGTGATTTCCAAATATTCCATTCTCTAGTCTAGTCACTCAGTGGTGCTGTGTACAATACAAATTTTTTGTTTCTTGTGCTTTTGTCATCCGATCTATGAAACTACTGCCTATGCCCGGATCATAAGAGTTTTCACTTTCAGATTTTTTTTTTACCCGTTGAATTAGTTTTTGTTGGTTTTTTGTTTTTTTTAAGTTTGTTGTTTTTCACATGAGCGGAGAAGAGGGAGAGGGAGGGAGAGAATCCCAAGCAGGTTCCACACTTGAGTGTGGGCTCAAACCCACAAACCATGAGATCATGATCTGAGCCAAAGTCAAGAGTCAGATGCTTAACTGACTGAACCAACCAGGCGCCCCAGAAGACTCTTCCTTCCCCCATTGAATTATCTTGGCTCTTGGCACTCCCATCAAAAATCTGGCCGTAGATTTATGTGTTTATTTCCGGACTCAGCTCTCTTTCGTTGATCTATATATCTTTTCTTATGCCAGTGTGACAGTCTTGATTGCTGCGGCTTCGTAAGTTTTCAAATTGGGAAGCGTAACATCTCTCGCTTTGCTGTTCTTTCTCAAGACTGTTTAGCTTTTCTGGTTTCTTACAATTCTTTACAGATTTTATGATCAAACCTGCAAGCGGCATGTGGGCCAGCTTGAATTTCGATAATTTGTTGACTGGGTAGATTGATCTGGAGAGGACTTACCATCCTAACAATACTGTCTTCCAGCGTATGTTCCAGTGTATGAACGTGATTATCTTCCCATTTATTTAGCATTTCTTTTTTCAGTGATGATCTTATTTTATAGTTTTGGTGTACGAGTCATATACTTTAGCTAAATTTATACCTAAGTACTTTTGAGAGAGAGAGCGCACACACAATTGAGCAAGGGGCAGAGAGAGAGGGAGGGAAGCAGGACTCACCCAGGGCTCAAGCTCACCAGATGTGGGACTTGAACCCACAGACCGTGATCTTGTGACCTGAGCCAAAGTCAGATGCTTAACCAACTGAGCTACCCAGGCACCCTGTTTTTTTCGTTTTTGAGGCTTATACGTGTGATTGTTTTCCTGATTTTTGGAATGTTTATAGTATATGGAAATAGAGTTGATTTTTGTATATTGATCTTGTAACCTTGCTGAACTGGCTTCTTCTAATGGTTTTTTGGTGGATTCCTTAAGATGTTCAGTATACAAGATCACATCAGCAAATCAAGCTAGGTTTTTTGCTTCCTTTCCAATCTGGATATCTTTTCTGGTTTTTGTCGTGGCCTAACTGCTTTGACTAGAACTGTTACAGGGTTAAAAGGAAGTGGCAAAGTCAGACTTCCTGCTTCATTGCTAATCATAGGGGAAAGGCACTCAGTCTTTTCACCATTCAGTATGTTAGCTGTTAGTTTTTCACTGATACCCTTTATCAGAGTTGAGGGAGTTGTTTTTATAATGAAAGGGTGTTAGATTTTGTCACCTGCTTCTGCATTTATTGAGATGATCCTACGGCTGTATTAATTGATTTGGGGTGTCAAATTAATCCTCAGATAAATCCCACTTGGATCTGGGATATAATGGTGTATAATTCTTTTGGATTATACAAACTGATGGATTCAGTCTGCCACTATTTTGTTGATTTTTCCATCTATTTTCATAAGGGATATTGTTCTAAATGTTTTCTTGCGATACCTTTGTCACTGGCACGTACTTTATTTTTTGAGCTTGCACGTGCACACACCAGTGGGGGAGGGGCAAAGGGAGAAAGAAAAGAACCTCAAGCAGGCTCCATGCTGCTTGAGGAACCCAGCTTGGGGCTCGATCCCCCAAGGATCCCCCTAGGATCATGACCTGAGCCAAAATCAAGAGTCGGACACAGCCGAATGAGCCCCCCCAGGCGCCCCGCCATATGCTTTCATATTTACAGTGACTGTACTTGGACTTTTATAATCCGGAAACAATATGTTTAAAATCTGAGAGCAGAAAGTCCTCTAAAACCTTCTTCCTACTTAATCTTAGGCTCAGATGAAGGATTACCAACGTGAATTAGAAGAAGCTCGTGCATCCCGGGATGAGATTTTTGCTCAATCCAAAGAGAGTGAAAAGAAACTCAAGAGTCTAGAAGCCGAAATCCTTCAATTGCAAGAGGTCTGTTTACTTACTTCCTCATCCATTTGTTCAAAAAATGTTTACCCTGTATATTCCTCTACCTGGCTAACAGCCAAGGGACTGGTTAGTCACTTTTCGAGCGACTTACCAGGCCGTGCTCCATGTGTTATAAAAGGCAGTGGTGTTGATTTAGTGTTGGGAAGCATCGGGATGGTTGAACTCTAAGTGTTCTAAGACTGCCCTGGTTTACATAAGACTGCCCTGGTTTACACTATTCCTGTGGTACTTAAAAGGGAAGCTGCAGGTTTCATTGACTCCCCGAGTGATTCATCTTCTGATCACTTCTTTCATTTATCTGTTTTGGAAGTTCTCCTGAAGAGGGACTGATGGGGGCTCACGTGTGCTATGGGGTCACGTCCGCGGTAGACACACCTGACCATGCAGGTTTAACAGTTTTATGGAGATGTGAGTGACGTACAAAGGACTGCACACACACAATGTGTGTGTCCACATCGCTGTGTGAACGGTGAGCACAAGTATTCCAACCTAGGAAAGGGAAGAGCCACTTGAGTTGAAATGTTGTTATCCGTTAATACGAAAACACGCCCACACAAACACCTAGAAATGATGGATTCGTTGTCACCAAAGACCCTGAACGTAGAGCAGAGCTTGCAAGAAAGAAGGGTGTCGGGGATGGACAAGGGACTAAAAACCAAGTGAGTCGACACTGAGCAGACCCCAAGGTCCCTGGGAGAGGCAGCTTTCGGTTTGGATCCCTCTTTGTTTTGTTTCCTTGATTTTTGCTCCGATCCTTACTTCCTTTGGGTTTTTCTTTTTCTGCTTTCTTGAGTCGCCCACGTTAATTTTCCATTTTTTCTCTTGTCCGGTTCTGCTCCTAGAACGCTGCACATTCCCCTCCAAGTCCTGTCTTCACTGTGTCCTAAAAAATCTATGCTCTCGTCACCATTTAATTCCAATTTTTTCTCGTTTCAATAATGGTTTCCTTTATTCCACGAACAACTTAAAAGTGTGGTTTAAATTTCCGAATGTGTGGATTTTTGTCCCTGTTGATTTCCATTTTCTTGCACTGTGGCTACAGAACAGAGACCGGAGCAGCTGTAGGGTCTGGAACATGACCAGTCTTTAAAAATGCTCCGCGTCTGCTTAAAAGAACACCTGCTCCTCCGTGAAGCAGATGTTCAAGATCTGTGTGGTTCATCGTCGAGCTGACGGGGACACGCTCAGGGGAGGGGGCTCTGGGAGCCTGTCTCCCGGAGGCCCCCAGGGCACGAGCTGCGTACCCAAGCACACTCCCGGCCTTTTCAGAAAGTGTTCATTTCAGACTTTAGATAAGGGAGAAGAGACCCCCTGGAAAGCTAGCCCTGCCCTTCTGTTTCTTTTTCCTTCCCTCAGGCTCCTCCCCTTTCTCCCACGGGTTCCCCCAGTGGGTGTCCATGGCACGCCCGGCCAGTGGGCAAAGGACGGAGCACCAGAGGCCAGATGGCAGAGCTGATGCTCAGTGTTTGTTGATCTGAGGCCCTGGGGTCGGGCCCAGAGTATCGTGGCTGCTGCCCTCCCAGCTGGGCTCGCTCCACCCCACGGGTCAGGACGGCATGTGCCGGAACCCGGGCCTTTCGCCTACATCCCGTGCGCTAACGTAAGAGGTGAACACACATGCCAAGCACACGGGCGAACTCTCTATGCGGCCCTGCTCCACAGGCATCTTTAAAGCTGTGCTTTTGCCAAATACGGCATTTTCAGGAAGCGCCAGCTGGTGGCAAGAGGCCCAGATGGGGAGAGTCAGAACCCCGAGTTTCTGCCGCCGACCAGTCTTGGCACTTGGCGAATCGCGTCGTCCATTAGGCCTCCGTTTCCTCACCTGTGCAGTAAGGGAAACGGCGCGGCTCTCAAATCCTGAGAACAGGATTTTAGTCTTGACCCACGTGGGCTAAGAAACGCACCCTGGCTGCCTCCTGTGGCGAACCCTCTTCCGAAGAAATTTGTGGAAAAGCCGCACCAGGCAGTTCTTCCTCCAGAGGACGGGCCCGGCCCGTGGTTCACAGAGAGCCGCCTGCACCGCCTCAGAGCCTGACTCCCACCTCCTTCGGGAGCCAGGCCCTGCTTACTGCACTAGCCGGAGGGCTCACCCTCGCCCACACTCCCCACGGGAGCCGTGGTCCTCACTTCCCTGCACAACTACCGTGTTTCCTGGGACCTTGATGTTCACTGGTCAGTCCCGTGGACCTGACCTCCAAACTGCACTACTGTGTATGTGACAGGTCCTTCAAGACCGTGAGCCGGTATAGTTGCGGGCTTGCAGGAGGTCTGTGCCGAGTTTAGGATTAAGAAACACCCGCTTTCTAGGGAGGGTGGGAACAGAGCTGCCTCTTCCGTTGGAAATGGCAGCAGAGCCCTCCCGTGGACCAGGAGTGCCCTCTGGGGACAGTTGTGCGGAAGGACGTGGACAGTAGCACGTCACCCGGCTTGTCTTCAGCCAGGCTGTGGCTTAATCTCTCAGGCCCGGCAGCAGCAAGGGGGCCGGAGCCAGGGTGGCCGCGGCCGGCAGGCTTCACATTTGAGGAACCCGTTACCCGGAGCTTAAATCCCACTCCGACCTCCCTTAGGAACTCGCCTCCTCTGAGCGAGCCCGCCGCCACGCCGAGCAGGAGAGGGACGAGCTGGCCGACGAGATCGCCAACAGCGCCTCTGGCAAGTGAGTCTCCTGGCAGCGCGCGGGAAGAATGGGCTAGAAACCGGCGACGGTGCCACCCTCCCCGCTCGGGCGCCTGCAGCCCATCCCCCTGGGGGCACACCTGTCACACCGGGAAGGCCGGGTCGTCTGGCATCTAGAAGTCCGTAGTTGACTTGCTCATCCGCTCGGAGCCTGCAGGACGGGCACAAGTTGCTGAGCGTCCAGACTGCCTTGGCG